TATTGGTTGGTTTGGTACTGAGGTGATTTTGAAAAAAATGGCTATAAAAAAAAGCTAGGAGCTTTTTTATGTTTGGTAAACATTCAACTTCAGCTTTTTTTTATAGTTTTGAGTGAAAAAAAAAACAAAAAACACAAAGCTGCAAAACCCAGCTTTGAAAAACCAGCTTTTTTTCACATCTGTTTTACATAAAAGTTTATCAAACACTATAATACTGCTTTTTTTTGTTTTCAAAAACACTTTTACAAAAAAGTTTACCAAACACTCAGCTGCTTTATTTCACAGCTACTTATTCTCACAGCACAGCAGAAGCAGGTTTTTTTTAAAAGCACATCAATACTAAACCAGCCCTTAAAGCCATGCCCAATTTGTTTAGCTTTTATAACCAAGTGAGCTTGAAATATATATACACGAAAGGTTTGTATGATCGGCATTGTCATCGTAGAGTTGCAAACATTTTTATCCGCTTGTTTCCGGCTTCTACAAGTTTTAGTTGTGATGTTCTTTATTTGATCTTGAGATTCTGTCATCTTTTACGTTCTTGTACCTCCGAATGCTTTTCCAATTTCGTTCTCGGGACGATTGTTTTCGACAGGCCTGTAAGAAGCTGAACCAGATAGAGCTCTCGGACTGTGAAATATATGCATCCTGTGAGCCATGCCCAATGTGCTTTGGTGCTATCCATCTTTCAAGACTTAAGGTCCAATTTTCGAACCTTTTAATTTCGTCGAAACGGTAACTTGATCATATTGTTATGCGGTTTCCACAATCTGTCTTCGCTCTTTCGGAACAGAGGTTGGTTTACGGAGCTAAAGCCGAAGCCGCCATAGCAATTGGTTTCGATGATTTCATTGCGTACGCGTTGAGGGGCACTGCATTTTACCAGAAGGCTCACATGGAGATCAAGAAAGCCGACGGGAACGGTGCGGTAATTGCCGAGCAGGTATTTGAGAAAACAAAGTCGAAATTTCACATGTATTGACTTCACGATTGCTCCATTCTTGGTGAAAGATCCAAAACAATTGACTGAAGTCTCAATTCTCTTCGTTATTATTACACGACGTTTCACAAATTCACGAAAGGAAAGAAATGGATTTTCATCCAACATTCAATCGTTTCGTATCAGAAAGTGCAGCCGTCGCTGTGACTCCGACAAAATTCTCCGACTTCAACTTCCTTCGGCTCGAAAATCCTAATCCGGTTCTGGTAGACGTACTAATCTCCCAACAGAAATGACCAGATGACGGAAACAAAACCCTTGTTTCCTCATCACGGCCACAAACTCGGGGTTGCAAAACTTGAACTTCCCTCGGCTGAATCTCCGAAATACAAAGCCAACTTAGAGTCTAGTCTCTCGAAGGCGTTGACAATGGTAAAACAACCAACAAAGAAATCCAAAGTACACAGTATACAACATTGTTTCGATCACCAAATTGAAACCAAGATCGGCATATATACACACGGCTATCGCGATCCCTTCCCACTAGACAAAGCATGTCCAACTAGTTCATAACGCCACACCCTATTGCAAGACATGGATCCATACACGGCTTACATACGCATGTCTACGAACAATTCCTTGCTTAAAAAACACAAACACAAACACAAACATAAACACAAGCACAAGTATATGTATATGCCTCTGCATCTGCATAGTACTAGTAGTCGTATACACCGATCTAGCAAATCATGAACAAAGAGGTTCAGGTTATTGAAACATAAAGAGATTTCTAAAACATGAAACGCCGATCTTTCTCTACCAGTCATGGAAACTAAAGAGAGAGCTGCCCTCTCGTAAATGACATCTCCAAATTTCGAACATGGCTACAATCCAGCGCAATACATAAAGTTGCTAACTTGATCAATTAATTTCGACGAACATCTCATGTACAAGAACATATGGGAAGGCAAAAGAAAACTACCTCACATGTCTAAACAAAACTATCAAACAACTAGACAATGATCGGAAAATCATTATTCGAAAACTGTTCTACGAAACCAACAAAGGCGAAAAATTTGTAAAATGCGAACACCTGCTGCACCATTGATCAGAGAGACCAAGCAAATTTATATGAACAAAAAATTCAAGATTCGTGAAGAGTCCCCAAACTTACTATCAATGTCTTCCTTCAATCGACTGGTCACCCGCCATTGGACCGCAACTCGTCCAATGCCACTTTGATCTGATTCTGAACCAAGTCCAGCCGCTTCGAGTACACCTCCAGCTCCAAAATCTGCTGCTTCCTCCACTTGTCATCCGCCACTTCTCCGCCCCCGAAATTCAAGTTCATCGGAAGCCCACCGAAGCTCAAGGGAATCGGATTGAATGCCAAACCTCCGAAGCCTCTAGACGGCCCGCCACCCATTGCATTACTCAGCAACTCCTTGAACAATGGAGACAAACAACTCTTCACCGTCTCCTCAATCAACCCTTGAACATTACAATTGTTACAATTGTTACCACCACCGGCACCACCATTGTTACTAATATTAATGCTGTTGTTGTTATCTTTAATTACCGGCGACGGCTCAACGAAACCGCCACGTAGCGGCGGAGGCGGCCGTTTCTCGTCGGCCCTTGGCTGTATTCGCGAGCGCTTGCGCGATCTCGGCGTGGACTTCTTATCACCGGCGAAACCGGCAGCTTCCTCGGCCTTGATCTCACAACTGCTGAAGTTAGGATTGTTAGGGGGATCTTCGTCGTCGAGGGCGTTCTCGTCGGCGCCAATTCGGCCGATATTGCTCCAGATCTTGCGGGAGATCTCGAACGTCGCCTGATCATGAGGGCTCTTGAAGCTGAGGTCTTTGCCGCTCGCGATTTTGCTGAGGACGTTCCGGTACTTCTTCTTCAGCCGCCGGAGCTTCTCGACGAGCTGGTTCTTGTTGAAGTCGAGCTGGAGCTTGGACTTGATCTGGTCGTAGAACAAAGCGGTGTCGTTTTGGCCATGCGAGCCTCTGCTGCCTCGCTGCGTCGTGTAGTCGAGGAAGCCCTGTAACAGCTCGATCTCGTCCTCGTCGGTCCACAGCCTCTGGAAGAGTCTCCGAGAATCGTCCAGCGCCGCCGGTTTTTTCTCCTCCGGCTGGGACGACAGCGCGGGGTGCCGTTTGGGATCGGATGACAAGACGGCGTCATTTGCGATTACGGTGGTTGGAGCAGACGTGAGGGTCAGAGGCACAGTAGGCGGGGCCCGAGCGGGAAGGGCGACGGTGACGGTTGGAGTGGCGGTGGCGATGGCGACGGGGATAGAATCCGTGGCGCCGGCGGATGACGTGGAAGGGGAGGCGGAGTTGATGACATCGTCGTTCAAAACGTCATCATCGTCTTCGACGTCTTCTTCTTCCTCGTCTTCGTCGACGACGTCGTCTTCTTCTTCTTCGTCGTCCTGGGAGGAGGAGGAGAGGTCGCCTTCGGGGAGAACGGCGTCGTCCTGATCGGGGGCCATGTTAGACGTGGCGGTGGAGGTGGGGTGGACGGTGTTATGGGAATCTCGGGTAAAATTGGCGCGTGGTGGGGGATGAGGTTAGAAATTTGCGTTTAAGAGAGAGAGAGAGAGAGAGCGAGAGAGGGAGAGAGGTGGTTGGGGTTAGGGCGAGAGGGAAGGGGTCAAGTGGGTTGGTTGGAACTAGGTTCACGAGATGTCGTTGTAGTTTATGTGTTGCGTGTTGGACTGTTGATCGATGGTGGACTAGTTTGGTGGTGGTGGTGACCTTGATCAAACTCTCTTGTGTATATCAATGGCCCCACTTGCTAACCTCTCTTTGAGTTAATTAATCAATGTGGATGTTTAGCAAATTCTTCATCCGATCCAATTATCCATTTTTTTGCAAGTGGTCATCTATTACCGTAGTAGAAAGCCGTTAAGCTTTTGCATGACAACGTAGGTTCAAATCTTGTCGATGACTAATCTAACATCTAATCTAGCAAAATTTATCATTTGACAAAATAAAATAAAATAAAAATGTGATGTACCTTATATGTACATGTCCACCTCCCTATAGTAAGACGCGTTTTGGGTGGATGAAGAGGTCGGGGATGTGACAATTTGGTATCAGAGCCACAACCCGACCAGAAGTGTGCCGATGAGGGGGTCAGGCCCTTAAGGGGGGTGGATTGTGAGGGCATGGCCCAAAACGGAAAATATCTTACTATGCAGACTGGGATGTGACATTTGATCTGGCATTTTTTTTTTGTGAGCAATCAATAAAAAAAAAAAAAAAGGTTAAGACCCGCGTTGTAAGTTGTCAAAGAGACTTGTGATGTGTCATGATCCTGGGATGATGAGGTGGCCTTCCATCCCCTAAACTTTTTGTTATTTGAAAGAAAAAAATTGGCGAACCCAATCAGAATGAAAGAAAGTTGAACCGGATTGATGGATTTGAATATTAATAAGTCTACATGACTAGGCATGAAAGGGGAAGAGGTCCCTCCTTTTTTTCAAAGGGCAATGTTTTGGGGGTGCAACGCAATGCAACTTCCCTTTGCATTGCTATTGTAATTTGTAATTGCACTTTTTTGTTGGTTAACTCTAATTAACAACTTCATATAATATGACTCAAGGCTTGTTTGGCTCATTTAGTTCGTTTGACAAGTGTTTTTAAACAACTGAAAACGTTTTTAAATAAAATATTTTTGAAATCAGTTTTGTTGAAATTGATATTCTAACAATTGGTGTCTATATAACATTTACTAAGAAATACATCGTATTACATCTATATCGCAGCATTTATCGGACAGTGGCCGGCAGCCATTGATAATTGCTCTCCTCCATTCACACCATACCTCTTTAACCATCACTTTAATTCATCCTTTATTCTTATCAACAGCCTTCTTAACTGTGGAAACCGATCTGTCCTTCTGGTAGCTCAACCTAAAATACAATTAAATCTCCACCCTAGCTGCAATAATTCTCTCCCACGCGCAGACCAAGCCGCCGATAAGAAGGGAAGGATCGAGAACGAGCTCTCTATCTCTGGTTTGGTCTGCACGTCCTGTTTCAAAAATGGCGTGGCGGCCATTGCTTAGTTGGATCATGTCTTCTTCTTCCTCCTCTTCTTCGTCTTCTTATTCATCGTCAGAGTATGAATCTGACCATGACGATGATATTTGTCGTCATGACCCCGGCAACAACAATGTCCGGCAAGCACAAAAGGGTCACGATGTTGATGATCATGAAGACGATGACGATGAAAACGACGTTTCATATGAACCCCATGAGGCCGAGGACGAGGACGAAGTGGAGGAACCAAAACCCAGCTCCACCTCCGACTACAGCTTCACAATATACGAGCCTCGAGCAAAACGACGGCGTATTGACAATGCAAACGAGGCATTAACGTCCGTCCAAGAGGAAAAGAAGCGGCGGGGTAAGAGGGTTTGGAGTAAGGAGGACGAGCTCGAGCTGTTGCGTGGCTTTCTTGACTACTACAGCACCAGAAAAACCAGAATTACCAAAGCCACCGCTAAGCAAACGGCGTTGTTTTACGAAGAGATCAAACCGAGGTTAAAGCTCGAATGCGGCAAGACAAAAATGGTGGAAAAGCTGAGAAGACTAAAGAGGAAGTACCACAATGTCGTGAAGAAAATGAACGAAATCAACTCCTCCGGGAAAGAGTTCCGGTTTAAAAACGCACACGACAATGCGGTTTTCGAGCTTTCGCATAAGATTTGGAACGTCGAAAAAACCAGAAATAATTGTGTCGTAGAATCGCATAACAATAATGTCATGGTGAAGAGGGAGGAGGACAATGTGGCGGCGAGTAGTAGCGTTGCGGATCATGAGAGGCCAACGACGTCGTTTGATGAGAATAATAACGTTACTAATGTGGATGATAACATGAATAATGGTCATGATGTGAGAGGGTTGATAGTAGGGTTGGCTATGAATCCAATGCCTCTGAGTTTGAGAGGTAAAATGGGAAGTGGCGGCGGCAGCGGAGTCGGAGAAGTGGTGGAGGATGAGAAGTGGAGGCAGCAGCAGATTTTGGAGTTGAAGGCTTATGAAAAGAGGTTGGATTTGGTGCAGCATCAGGTTAAGGCAGCTTTGGAGGAATTGAGGTCCAAGGGAGGAGCTTAGTTTCTAAGATTGTTTTTGTTGTTGAATAGGATATAAAAGTTTGCTTTTTAATCTTGATTTGGTAGAGAAATTGTTACCTAATGCTTCCTGAAAAACACCTATGAAATTGGATTAACTTTTTGTGATAGGACATTCATGTGTGATAGAAGTATGTTTTTTGTTAAATGAAAGATTTTGTATTGATAATATTAGTATTAAATTGTATCGATGTTGTTTATCATGAAATAATGTATGTACAAGAAAAACTTAGATAGGACAGTCTGATCAGTTGAGAACTTGAACGGCCGTTTATGATATTATTATCCGATCAAACGTAAGTAGAGCTCCTAATACACGTTGATCTACTCTTTTGTAAAGAGCTGAACTGACGTTTGTGATGTAATATATAGTACACTGTTCTAAAAATCCCCGTCTAGGCGCTAGGTGGCTAGTCACCGCCCTGATTCATGCCTAGGCGTTTGAAAATTAAGAAATGGCGCCTAAACTGCCTAGGCACCCGTCTAGCCCGCCTAAGTTGCAACTCACTTAGACAGAAAATAGATAACTTTCATTCGCATTTTTTTTTTAATAAATTGTAAGAGACTTGTTGTAGTTTATGATGAAATTATATATATTTTAAGTATAAACAAGCACTTATTTACTCAAAATATAATAGATTTACTTAAATCCGCCTAACCCCGCCTAGGTGTTAGGCCCTAACCCACCGTCCGACTAGCGCCAAGCGTCTTTTAGAACCGTGATTACTAATATTGTTCTTATTTGGTGGGGAGATTTTTAATTTAGTGTATTTGGTTGGGTTTATTGGTTATTGGGCTTTAATATTTTTTGACACAAACCCAAAACCCGGCCCAATTACTTGGATCCACCCACAGTTTACCACCTTCCCCACCTTATCCAACTCTCCCTTTCAAAGCGAGCATATGCCCTCCAATGGATCCCTTTCCTTTCTCCTCCACCCAGATGCACATGCATCACTGAAACACCCACATACACAAACAACAACAATCACATTCCCAAATTAACCCCAATTTTCTCTCTCTACACTTTCTCTCTCTTCTTTCTTTTCACCAGCAAAGAAGCTTACAGACAAAAAAAACAGAGAGAAATTACAGACATCCATGGCTTGCGCGACAAGACCCACCTTTTCTTTCCACCTCTCAATCACTTTCCCGCAACATTCCCACCCAAAGCCCAGAACCCAATTCCCTTATCCCCACCTCCTCCCAAAGGTCCAAACTTTTTCACTCTCTCTCACTCACATCCCCCCCAAAACCCCACAAATTGTCTGCAAACTCCATTGATGTCTCCAAGGAAGACAAACCCACTTCAGAAGAACCCACCTCGCCCCCTCCCGCCTCCTCCGTGGACCCAGTAGAGCCGGCGGAGGAACTCGAAACGAAGTTCGACAAGCGGCGGCTGGAGGAGAAGTTTGCTGTGTTGAACACTGGGGTGTACGAATGCAGGTCTTGTGGGTACAAATACGACGAGGCGATGGGTGACCCGTCGTACCCGGTGCCGCCCGGGATTGCCGTTTGATAAGTTGCCGGAGGATTGGAGGTGTCCGACGTGCGGGGCGGCGCAGGGGTTCTTTGTGAGCAAGAGTGTGGAGATTGCTGGGTTTGCGCAGAACCAGCAGTTTGGGCTGGGTGGGAATACGCTCACTTCTGGGCAGAAGGCTGTGCTCATATTTGGGGGACTCTTCCTTTTCTTTGTGCTTTTCTTATCCGGGTATTTTCTGCAATAATCAAAGAAGTATGCGTTTTTTTCTTTCTAAATAGTGAAAATGTATAATAATTCAATTTACTAGTAAAATTATCAGAGGTATAGTGTCTTTTTGTTTTGTGAGATTTGTGTATTGAATTGTCGCAACAACGGAGGAATTTGGAGTTCTATAACACTATGTTTGGACGAGGGAAATAAACTTAAAATTTTGGTAAAAGTCAGAATTTATAAATTGACATGCACCAATTCCCTTGTTTGGATTCATAAACATAGAAATTTTGAATTTCCGCGTGGAAAAAAAACTTGGAATTTGGGACCTCCAATTCTCAAGTTCAAATTTCATGTAAATATGTGTCATTTCCCAATTTCTATGATTGAGAGTTTAAAAATAATAAATTTCGTATTTAATTTCATTGTTCTTTTAGATTAACCAAACAAGAAAATTTACAAATTCTAGAAAATAAAATCTTGTCATTTCAATTTCCGTCATTTTAAAATTCCTTAGTAATCTTAAATTTCTTCGTCCAAACATAGTGTAAAGGTTTTCTTTTCTCGGAATGTTTACTTGGAACGAGAAAAGTCATATATCGCAAAAAGATAAAAAAAAATGATATGCATAGGCTCAATTAGAAGTTGGTTAATCCGATTTCTATAGTATTGGATCACGTATCTTAAAATGAAACACAAAACGTGTTTCTATTACTACTTACATGTTTTAATAAGCACATAAAATGTCGGAATCCAAATAACTCTGTTACATGTATATTTTAGTAAACACAATAAAGCCAAGAATGCTCTCGCCGTCGTTCGAGCGTTCATCTCGCTTTGAAAAAGTTAAAAAGATTGGTTCCCTCAGCAGAATCCTTTGAATTCCACAAACAAAAACACGAGCACCAAATCTCGTTTCATTTAAACAAAGAAAAACTAATGAAAAAAGCTTAAAAACCTTTAGTTTTAATGATAAGGCCAAAATAAAAGATAAAATGAATAGTACCATGATTGACTTTTTAGTGTAAAAATATGATTTTTCGTTAAAGTAAACAGTATCAGGAACTTTTCGTTAAAATTCTCTTTAAACAACCCTGTTCTCGAATCATATCATATTTTGAAAAAAAAAATATCCAGGTATAAAAAGGAACGAATAAATAGAAAATATTTTCGGAGCTACTAACATCGAATTCCTTTTGGATGACATAATATTATTCCCCTACTTCTGATTTGGGCAAGCGCCTTCACAAATTCTTCCTATGAAACTATGACAACAACCTGCAACTATATACTGCATATTTCACAAACCACCTAAGAAATAGTTAGTCGTATATGACCGCCATAGCCAGTTAGTACAACCTGAGAGAGCTTCTGAAGAAAAATCCTCTTGTATTAATGTAACAAACAGTCCTGCGGTTTTCGGTACTGACTGCATCATATAAGGAAGTCAAATCACTTTCGCATCAGAACCCCAGAATCAGTAATTGGAGTAAGTTGTGTGGTTGTACCTCTTACAAATAGCCAGGCATCACACAAATCCTGAGGAATCACTCCCGCTCTGGTCTCCACGGTCTGACGTATCCTGGGGAGCACGCGTCTTAACTTGATAGACCTTGACCTGCGGTTGCTCATATGCTCCACCATATCCAGTTTCCTGTTGCCTTACAAATAATCCACCATTTCCAGTTGGTTCTTTGCTAATCCACTTGGTAGGTGGCGAAGGAAGGGCACCCATGTTCTGCACAAACTGGTGCTGATGGTTTGCTTGGTATCCTGAATTTGGCATCCCAGGTGGCGCCGCTGCAGGTGACCTGGTTCTCACACTGCCTTGAACTGTTAAACTAGACATCGCGGTTCTCAGGTTGTGGTACTGTTCTTGATATTGTACTCCCTCTTGTGTCCTAAAACTCTGTTCTTGATATTGTACTCTTTCTTGTGCCCTAAAATTCTGTCTGCCACCTTGCATACCATTTGATGCGAGAAATCTAGGCCTAATCATCATGACCTGAGGATTGAAGGAATTTCCGTACTTTGCTTCTTCGCGGAAGCCACTCTCATACCCAGAGGGCCCAGATGATCTTGGTCGGTTGACTGGATAATTTCCTGCATAGTTTCCAGAATTTCGTAATGTCGGTTGATCCCAAAATCCGGAGGATGAACTACTAGGTCTAATATTAAGGGTGTTCTTGACTAGTCGATGAGCTGCTTCTCCCAACATGGATCCAGCAATTGCTCCAGGTATTTGTGGCCTATAAAACAAATGCATCAGGTTCAGAAACCACAATCCAGAGTCCTGAGTTGCAGTAGTTATAAGATAAAGATTCTCACAGATATTCCCAATTTGAGATCTTGTTACTAGGCCAAAAAACACATGTAAAATCAGGACAACTGGAATTCAACTCACCTCTCTCTACCTTGGCGTCGAGGACCTTCGTCGTGCCATAACGTAGGGAATGGTTTGATGTCCGTAGGTCTTACAACCTGAAGACGTTTAAAAGAATAATTCAAATTATGTCCCGGTGAATCCCAAATAATCAAGAGTAATAGAAAAGATAATAGAAAACGCGTTTATACCATATTTAGGGTCTCGTATTTAGATCTCGTACAAATACTCAGAGGACTTAAATGTAATTATGTGATAAAGGAATGGGCAAATATGTAATAAGTGATGAGTTCTTATTCTATAAAAGAACCCCTCACAAGGGGTGGGTTCAAAAAACCGAAAACCGAAAAAAACCGAAACCAAAAAAACCGAACCAAACGAAAAAACCAAACCGAATTGAAAAAACCAAACAGAACCGAATTCTTTTGGTTCGGTTCGGTTTTAGTGATCTAGAAACCGAACCAAACCGAACCGAACCGAATTAATTAAATTAATTAATTTATTTAATTATTTGTTTTGTGTATTATTTTTTAAACCCAATTTGTAAGTTAAAATGTGCTAAACCCAATGTGTTGCCAAACTTAAGCTCAAAATATTAAAAAAAAAAGCCTATAAAAACTATAAACCCTAACCTATTATTTATCCCCCATATAAGGTTCCGGAACCAAACCTCCTCCTAAAGTACCTACATCCATCTTCATAGCACTGTCTACTTCTGCCCCAGCTTTCTTTTCCAAATCTACTCTCATATAACATGTAACAGAATCCATAAACATTTATTTCGGGTAGATTACTTGGGTAATTTGTGATGGAAAAGAATCCAACACACTAAATAAATCCACCCACGCATTACTTTTTTACTAATCAAGTGTCAACATCCAGTTACAAGCAAACAACCTTGATCTTTGATCAACATAGCATCTCCAAGCATAGAACAATTTGATTATAAATCAACACATGAAGTGAAAATAAGAAAAGCTCAACTTATATGCAGCTCCTCACATTTTTTTGACCCATAAGAAAATGACAACAACATAATATTTCTCACTAGAAGATTCACATTGAACAAAGCATGAGCAAAAGAAACACCAACCATAGGAACCTGATATATCCCAGCATTAACGGGAAGAAGGAACGTGTTCACAAGGGGATATAAGCTATATGCATTTGACATGGACTAAAAAGAAAAATTCTGTAAGAGTTGGGCAAGAACTTCAAAGAATCCAGAGCTCACATACCTTTCTGGGCATTATCACACCCTCGGGAGGTTCTGGAATGTGTGTATGAGCTGTGGGGTAAAAATAGGTAACATTTCTGCATATGAAAAGTCCCCACCATGAAAACGCTTTATTCTCTTTAAGTACTAAAACAACAACAATAGTAAGGGGCCTACTTACAAGACTTGGTTATAATGAAGGTTTGGATAACCATGAACAGGGGAAGGGATTACATGTCTAACGCCATTTCTCTCAGATAACCAAAGGAATCCATTCATTCCACCACTGAAAAAAAAGTAGAGGGTCGCAATTCTAGTGAGTTCCACAATGACAATTGAACCACGAGTCCCAATATAGACAATTACTAAAATAACCTACCTAGCAATTGTGTCTATGATCCATAAACATCTTTCATGTGGGGGTGTCTGATAACACAGTTGGTAGTACGGAATGATGTGTGCTGCCAAAGGATGAGAAGTACAAACATAAAGCAAATCAAGCATTATGCTATTCCGAGCCTGCTCTTCCTCCTGCAAGACGTCCAAAATAGCCCTATGGTAAGATAAAGAATCCAGAGATGAGTCGTAGGCTCATTGCAGCCTACCATATAATATCTTTAACTCCCACTCTGACCAAAATGTAATCCATGATTCCAAAGACCTACAGCTTCAAGGCATTTCTATCTCAAATTACCAATAAATACACACAGCCAATAATTTCAATTCTATTGGTTCAGAGCTCGAAGAGATAGCCATGAAAGGACAGATTTATATTTCCCCAAAATTCAGTCTATCAGAACTGTTGACTTTAATCTCCCTTACTTGATCATGTTCATCAATAGTCTCCGGTGTTACGCAAACTTATAAGAATATGCTATGCGAATATATGAATATTAAATTAAACATGCCACACCTAAACACAAATAATCTAGCACATGTTCATCAATAGTCTCCGGTGTTACGCAAACTTATAAGAATATGCTATGCGAATATATGAATATTAAATTAAACACGCCACACGTAAACACAAATAATCTAGCACCTAGTGCCATATGTTTCCTAAAAACCTGATTGTGAAACTGAAACATAATTCCTGCAAGCTAACCTAGAATTTATAAAAGCCAACGCTTTACGTAAGTATTTGGTATACTAAATTCATTTTAGGGAGTACAAATTTGACAGTTAATCACATGAACATGAAGTATAACTAATGCAAAAAATTATTAGGAAGAAAATGAATGATCTTCCCAACCGTTAAAGTGCTTTCAAGCTTCCTTGTCTCCGTAAGCAATTTCTTCTCATCAATGAATGGCAATTTGGCAACGCCCTGACTTCCAAACACACAGAGACACATAAAGTGATATAACTACCATTAGTTTACCTCTCCAAAAGGTTGAAAAAAACCACAAAATAAAATAAAGAAAAACAACACTACACAAGATCATACCTGCCATGCAAAGCGCTTGCCATTCATGTCAATTTCAAAATCTGTAGTGAGATGTTTCAAAAGGAAAAAATTATCAGACAGGATACAAC